CCCCGCAGCACACGCACGCTCCCCGCGATCTTGTCACCGGTGGTCGTCGGGGCCTGGAGCCCCTCTGGCCTGTGTCTGTGCAGCTGCCTGTGACAGCCCCGAGTGCGGTCTGCGCTCTCCGCGCCGCCCCCGACCCCTCAAGCCCGAGCACCCCGGGATACCGCACCCTCCGCAGGTTACCTGTGCGTCCGACCTGCCGGGAGGTGCTGGGTGCACCCGGAGGAGTCAACCACTTCTCACTTTCTCGGCCTGGTGCTCTCTTAGGCACTTGGAGGCCTGTCTGTCGTGGTCCCTGTCAGGGTCTGTGGCCCCAGCCGTATTTGAACCACTTCGGCCCTGGGCAGGTGCCACTTCCAGGCTCTGGCTGAGAAGTTAGACTTAGGACTGTTGCTTTCTCTCTGCCCACACTCTGCAGGTGACACCCAGGCCAGCTACTCAGGAGCCACCAGGAATGCTAGTGGAGCCCCTCGTCCCTCCTCTCAGCTTCTCTACCCAGCTGCCCCATGGGCCTTGATCCAGAAAGCTCCTTGCGAAAGGTTGGGGGATAGGCATGGGGGCTGCTGGTGGGGAGAGGGTGAGAGCGCAGCAGTTAGGATTTGTGGCCATCCGTCTGGGATTTTCTGCGGAAGAGAGTGGCGGGGGCTGGAGGGAGGGTGGAAATGTTTCCTCCTAGGAGCAGGCACCTGGGATTCATAACGGTTCCCCTTTCTTCTCCAGCCGTCCCCCTTTCGCACTCTGTCCATATACCATATCGTAGTAGACAGTCATTTCAAGGGCACAGCAGGGGCCACTACCACGTGAGGGACTCTTGGGCATTGCCGAGTGTACAAATGAGGTAAGCGAGAGGTTCACGACGTCGTTTCTTCCCAGGTGGTTTGGCATAGACAGAACGTGAAACAGTTCTAGACTCTTCCTGCTTTTGCTGTGTTGCTGTCCTCTCGCCAGCAGACCCTCCTTTCACCTGACCAGCCCTGGAAGGGTTGGTTTCTTCCTGAGTGGACCTCACATTGAATTCTTTTGCATTAAGGGAGTAGTTCTCAAATACATCTTAACTTAAGCACCTGTCGGGCTTGCACACAGATCGCTAGGCCTACTTCTAGAGTTTCTGATGGCAGGTCTGGGCCAGGGGTTGCACATCTGCGTCCTAGCAAGGCCTCAGGTGCTGGTCTTTGGGTCTGTCACTTCCAGACAGACTCCCTGGCATATAGGTGCAGTGGTTGGGGTCAGAAGACCTGTGATTGAGTACTTCTGTGCCGGCAACTAGCAGTCTGGCCTTTTATGAATCATTTGACCACTTAAGCCTGAATTCTTTCATTTGTTAAGAAAGTACCAAAAACAGGCAACCAGCAGTTAGCGTAATGGCTATGTCTCTGGAATCCCACGTAGTTGACCACGGTTTGCGTCCCGGACCTGGTGGCTTAAAACTCACACCGGGCGCGTGTGCGTGTGTGCCCAAGATCCCGAGAGGAGAATGGAGGAGAAGGGATTGCGGCGTGACCATCCCCCCTGGGGGATGATTTCTCGCTTTCTGTCTCGCTGTCTGTCTCTGGTGAGCGCACGTGCCCTATAGTGAAAACCTCTCAAAAAAAAAAGTACCAAAAACAAACAAACAAACAAAAAAACACTGAATTTTGCATTATCATGATGAAATATTAATTAACTTTTTCTCTTGATTTTCTTAATTTTCTTGATAGGAGGAGCTTTCCATTTTGAGCCAATACATTACATTCATTCTAGGATTTACTGCAAATTCTTAGTATTGTTAGTTGCTTTTTCTTAACTACCTGGTGAGTTCTTCAGGGTCAGAGTATGTGTCTTCTCCTTTCTCTGCTCAGCACCTTAAACAGGTGGGAAACAGAACTGAGGCTCTGTAGGTATTTGTGGGTTGAATCAACTATCGCGTGCCCTCCTCCGCACTTGAGGACATTTTTCTCCACTGATACTCTGCCTCACAGCAAGGCAGGAAACGGCTGTGCCACGTGATTTCCCCAAGAGATTGGAATAAATGCCACACCAGATTCCACAGCTACCCCTGCCAAAGATTTATTTATTTATTTATTGGTAGAGAAAGATTTTTGCTATAGGGTACGTGTGCTTGCCAGAGAGACAGAGACAGAAAGCAAGGTGGAAGCACCAGAGGAAGGCCACACCATAATCCCTTCTCCTCCATTCTCCTCTTAGAATTTTGGGCACGCACACACATGCACCCAGTGTAAGTTTTAAGCCTTCAGGCCCAGGACTCAAACAGCGGTTGACTACGAGGAAGTCCAGCGATATAACCATTATGCCACCTGCTGGTCCCACAGATGGTTTACTATCCAGAAACGCAGGCACCTGCTGGAGTTTTGGTGCTTCGCTATCGAAGCAGAGGGGAGTAAAACAGCTTAATTAAATTCACGCATTTATGGAGCATGTTTCCTGCTTACCAGGTACTTGACAGAATCATAGGTGTTGGGCAGGGGAAAATGAATCAGGAGACCCCTGCTCTGGAGAACAGGGCTCTCAGAGAGACACGCTGGGCCATGCCTGTAGCAAGAATGACTTCTGGGGTTACTTGTTCGGATCGTGTTTTAGCCTTCACTGAAAACCGGGTGCTCCTCAGATTCCACTAGTTCACCAGCTGGGTCCCATTTTATCGTCATGTACAGAGGAGCCTTGGGCAAGGCCAGTTGGTAGCCACTTAGGCTGGTATAGGGCGTGTCAGTCACAAAGCTGAAAATGGTGACTTTTGAATGGGCTGTTCTGAATTACCCATATCGACACCACAGGTCAAGTTGTCTTTATAAAGATGTTACTCGGTTATTTTCCATTAAAAGGTGGTTTCTCTGATTGGCATGGGCAGTGTTTGCTCTAGGAATGAATATATCAAGTTGAACTCTGGCTGCCAAGTGAGAGCTGCTACTGTCACCAGCGTAGGTTCAATGGCTTTGCCTTTTCTGTTTCAGATTACTCTGTGATGTTTTGTTTTAAACTGAGGCACATAGGTTGACCTTCGGTTAGGCCAGTGACTACTTCTGGGTTGTGTCTCCTGAGGTTAAAAAGCCTAGCTTTGTGTTGGAGAGGAGCTAACATGAGTATGATGTCCAGGTATTTCATTCTGGGCTCTTGAGTAAATCCCGGTCACCATCCTAGGCTGATGCATCATGGCCTAGATACTCACCAAAAAGCCATACATTCTTGTTCATCAGCCTCTTCAGCACCTCCAGAAAGCTGATGGCTCCTCTGAAGATCAGGTTCTCTGCTCATTTCAAGATGAGTTGATGTAACTTGCCCAAGATGCCACGTGGTTAAGAGGTGGAGTTAAGAGAACTCAGGCCAGGCCATCTACCTCTGAGAGCAGAGCTGTCGGCGGCTAACACTCCTCCAAGGCCTGCGGGAGATAACCATAGAAAGGTGTTTTAATTAAAAATAGAGTGGAGCCAGCACGTGGCCTCGTGAGTAAGGGAACTGAATCCCACATGGCTGGTTATGAGGTTCAAGTCCCAGACACCCAGCAACTTGGAAAACACACCACGCGGGTATGCCCAAACCCAGAAAGGAGGGAGAGGGAAGAGGAGCATGGCGTGGCCTTGCCCCAGGGGCAGGGTGCTCTCTTCCCGTCTCTGGCAAATTAAAGTGAATTGTTACTGTTTGTATTTTCCATTTTTCGGTTTACGTTTACTCTCAATGACGTTTTTAAACCCACCTTACACTTTGATGCTAACCGCAGAGTCTGACAGGCTATGGTTTCAGGGCAGGAGATTCTTTTTTTTTTTTTTTATTAATTCACTTTACACCATCACAACACACAAATGAATTTTCCATCAAAATACACTGTGCATTGGCTCAATCAAGCACATCCACATACATGTTCTCAGCAAATAATTTTCCAATTCTTACATCCTGTATACCTTGCCCTTTGTCTTACCATCCCTGATTCCCCACCCCCCACCCTCTGCTATGTCCTATCTTCCTCCCCCATTGTCCCTGGCATCCATGGTTGCCCTCCATACCTTCTTCCCCCCCATTCAATTGTTCTGCTAATGAACTTAATTAGTCTAAATAAATCCATTAGCTAGCACAGCTGACACAAACCTACACATGTATCCAAGTCTGACCCTAGGCGTAAACCCCGGTGAGTAGAATGAACATATTATAAAGTAGTACCCAGCTGTGCCCATACAGCTCGCTGCAGTCATCAATGTGCATTTTTTTTTCTCCTGCAACTTTTTTTTTTTTTTTTTATTTTACCTAACACTCATTCCCTGAGCATCATCACAACATTCTAAATGTAGTTTCCCATCTAGGACAAACTGCATAGTGACTTAATCAAGCATGTTATCATCAATAATATTCCATTTCTACTTTCATACAATGTTTACATATATATATGTTTTTTATCCTATCTTTGACCCTCTGCCCTTTCCCCCTCTCCCATTACCCTATCTCTGCTATATACAGTTGTCTTCCAGGGGAGTTATTGAAAATGTGATACATGCAAGTAAAGGGAGAAGGGCCACAAGTTTAAAGTTTTCAACAATAGGGAACATAGATTCCATTCAAGGTTGGATCAAGGGTGGGTCTCGTGCGGATTCGCCATTGTAGGTGAGTCTCCATGGAATACAGTTCTAGGAAAGCAGTTCTGATAAGCAGAGATGATTATCAGTTGATGCGGCACAGCAGCCATCTTGTGATTAGCGGGAATGGTGGTCTTCCAGGGGAACCATTGAAAATGTGATACCTGCAAGTAAAGGGAGAAGGGCCACAAGTTTAAAGTTTTCAACAATAGGGATTATAGATTCCATTCAATGTTGGATCAAGGGTGGGTCTCCTGCGGTGCCGTGGGGCTCTACAGCGTGAGCTATCCTTGGGTATCTGGCTTCCTCAAGAATGGTAGAGTAGTTCCTGTTCTTCCCTGAGGCAATGCAGGGCTGGCAACCATCATCTTCTCACTGTCCATAGGCAGAGGAAGTCCTGCTATATAATATATTTCTCAACTGGTTTAAGACGCGGATCCCGGGGGTGGCGGGGCCCGCGCAGGGCCCGGGTGGGCCCGTAGCAGGGCCCAGGGCAGGAGATTCTTGAGTCCGGGCCTCCCCTGACTTCCCGGTGCCACCCACTACTCATTCAGCTTCTCCTCTTAGGTCTGCTATCTTCTGCTTCCCCTTCGTTTGAAACCTGTTGTCATAAACATTGAGTCCCCTCTCCCTTGCTACTCAGCTAGTACCTTTAGGAAGAGAAAACTTAGGTGGCAAAACTATTTTTGAATAAATACATTTAAAACACGGTTTGAAGTCTACTGAGATGGTGTGCTTGAAGGCCAAAAGGAAGGAATGGGTTCCTTTCATGTCTTTCGCTTCTGGCTTCCGTTTTCACGGGACCTCTAGGGCATGCTAACTAGGCGTGGCTCGTCTTACCCTGCTGTTACAGGGAGGCAGGGGGTGTTAGAAGTCAGGGTGTCATGGTGCGGTCTTCGGTCTTCGGTGGGAGAGCCTTCCGTAAGGTTCCGCCCCATCTGGGCTCCAAGGCTTTTATTTCATCTCAACCCAAAAGTACCTTCAAAACAAAGACCCAACTTGGTTCAGTACTTTACTTTTTCCCTGTACGTTCTAATTTTCTTTTGTAATTATGATGAAATAAAGGACTGTTTGCTTGTTTGTCATTTAAACCTTGTGTTTGTGTCCAAAGGGATTAAAACAGCTTGAAGGGAAAGGAATAAAAATGCATCGAGTTCGGCTCTCGGCCTGACTCTATGCTAAGTGATTTCTGCAGGGTACCTCGGTCACCCCTAAAACGATCAGGTGAGATAGGTCGCGTTAGCCACACTTGGAAGATGAGACAGAAGAGGGTGTGTGG